GTACTGTTGATGGTTCCCAAACTAGGTTGATCTTTATTCTTTGCTTTTTAAATAAACTAAACATAAAACGGTGAGCGGTTTTATTTCTCTATCAGGCATCTTCACGTTAATTTAATGGAGTAATGAAGTAATCTATAAGTGACAAATACATTCTTTTATCAGCAAGTAGGTGAGCGTAAAATATCAAACTGACGAATCGGCGATAATGTACATAGTTTTGCATCTAATAATAAGTATAAAATGTCTTTGAGCAACTGGGACAAAATGCATTTGGGAGAGTAATTCAGATGATTAAAACTGCCTACATGTATCTCTTTATTTTTTCGTCTATCAGGATATATTGTTAGGTACATTAAACTCAAATAGTCCTATTGCTTACTGGTACTCATTTATTTGTTATTTTTCTGTTCACTGAATTCTTATTCTTTAGAGAGAAAGAGTTCTGTACGGAGATGCTAAGAACTGCACTACAGAAACGCATTTGCTTTACAACAAAGAAATAAACGCTCTTAAGTACGTTTATACAGATAGTTTAAAAAAGTTTGCAACAGATCAGGATTCCAAACCAGAAGGTTGTTTACTTACGTTTACAAAGATGAAGTAGTAATGGACAAAGATGTATGTAAAAAAAATAATTTTTAGCACTTAATAGATATTTGTTAATGGTATTGGCAGTATTTCTTATCCTGAGAAAAGAAGATCTGAAGTTCAAATGAAACCAGAGGACTTGTTGAAGTAAGAATAGAGCAATACGCTCTAAATTTTAAAGTCATTTACCATCCTATGAATTACTGTTGGAATCTCCTCCTGATCATCTACGAAATTTCAGTCATCTCCCTAATACAATAGCACAGGAAATGTATATTATGGCTGACCTAAGTGAATGTTTAGCAGACAACACAACGGATCTACCACCAAATTACTCAGGTGATGAAGTGATTCTCTGCAAAATTACAGTTGATTCTACTGGAATTCTACGTTGTAAACCAGACTTCACTCATGGAAATGATAAACACAAAATTAAGCGCAAACAAAAAGGTTTATAACAATACTTAATATGTGTTTATGCTGTCAGGATCATATTATTTCACATTGGAAAATGTTTCACATCAAATGTCAAAATTGGATAAACAGAAAACAGAACAGTTAGAAAGAGAGGTAAAGTTTTAGTTTTAAATTCTGATTTTATGAATAGATAGCCTTGAGAAAATTCTCCCAGCTGTGTGCAATAATCGGGAAACAGTTTGAAATGGTATGTGTTTTTTTTATTAAAACTGAATTATTTTCATAGCCTGTAGAACAAAGTTTCAGACTGTTTATCACCGGAGAAATACGTGAGTGACTAATAATAATAATGATAATAATAATAATTTTTTTAGTTTGTGCGACTAACTTTGAGAATTCTGGACTATATGTACAATATTATCTTGAGTTACCGCAAAGTAGGTCTAGCATTTATTTAGAACATATTTTTGTAGACTGGAAAGCATACAATCGTAAACTGCTCTGTGGGAGTTCACAAGTAGCGTCAACCAAAAGCATTGGAAACGTATGTAATGCTAAATTTACAAAAGTATTGAAAGTGCATGATCAATCCTGAAAGATCCATTTGTTGATACACTCAAATATGCGCTAATGCATAGCTGAAAACATTTTTTTTTCAGGGTCAGAATACCACAAAAATCCATTGCAGTCACTTGTTTTTTTGAATAGTCAGTAGTTTAAAGGATTGAATCTATATATTTTTTTATATTTTTAGGTACCTCAGGTTAAACATTAGAATTTACCAAATTTTGAGTTATTATTTATAAGCATTCCATTTTATCATTGTCTACTTTTTAGGAAGAAATAAGTGTATTTTGTCAACCGATTGAGTTTGACCTAACATATAGGTCAGAAATAAATATAGGTAAGTATATTTCATTTTACTGAGAAATTTATAGTCTCACCCACATATAGCAGACTCATTTGATTCATGTAGAGATCAATAAGTTAGCATTTTAAATTAATATTTGACTACCTAAAATGCAATGTACAAAACATTTGATTTTAGACTTAACACAAGGATCGTATTCAACATGGCCTACACTATATTTTGAAATTCTTTCACTTGATTTCTGGACTAGAAGTCGAACTGAAGGATATGGATTTATAGAACTTCCACGTGTTTCTGGTAACATTAACTTTTTATTTTGAATCTTCATATTTATTAATTTGTATTCATGTACTAGACAATCATGAAGTCATGAAAAGGGCTTGCGATGCAAAGAGAATTTGATAGTCTTAGCCATACGTGTGATTGGTTTCGGTGATATGTATGTATGGGGTAAACTGCAGCAAAAAAAGGCATGGTTTTCTATTAAAATCAGTTCATTCTCCTTTTCAAAATAATTTAATAACCTACTTTATTTCTTATTGGACTGCCTTTATAAATTTATCTTATTGGTCCAGTCAAATTCCTTGTCAGTTCGACCTTTAAGAACTAACCGTTAACTTAATAATAAGTGACCTCCCATATCTTAATTCGAAGATGTCTGTGGTAGATATAGTCGCTTGCATTTCCTATATAGGCTGTAACTGTCAGACATATAAAGTGAAACTGACAACTTTATCAAATCTGTTTTGTTTGTTCCATTCAGGTACACATGGTTTATCCATAGTTTGTCTAAGAAAACATTTTTACTGGACACTACTTGTATTTAGCCAAAATCAAGAAAAATACTGTGATAGCTAGTGGTGTAACAACAGAAGACAAGGGTCAGTCAACAGACGGTTTATTAAGGAAATCAACACATATTTATAGATTTTCACGTACATTATTATAGATTATTGTTAGCAGAAAAACACAGTCTTCTGTTTGATTACTTCTCACTGAAAGTTAGTCTTTCATCTCTTTGTGGCTGTTTCATAAATGTCAGATCATCTATATGCTAATTGTATCCGCCTACACAAAGTCTGCTCTGGTTGGTTGTTGGATCAGTCTTTGTTCTCATTTTTCTCACGAACAATATTGGGGACGTAAACATTGACGTAAATTACTATCTACGAGTTTGGTTAGCAGCCAGCTCTCACCCCAGTGGTAATTCCTTGTGCGAGTTTTAAACAGTGATGTTCTGAATATTTATAAGTTCTGAAGCTTTCTTTAAAACATAGGTTAGTTATAATTATTATATTACTGTTCCCTTGGGTTCCGAGTGGGACATAGGGCTTCAGCAACATATCTCCATTTTGTTCTGTCTTCTGCTGGCCTAGGATTGGCCCCAATCTTTCATCTTCTCCTCACACGATCTTCTCCATATCACCCTAGGACGACACATTCGGGCGATGGTCTGGAGCGCGATGTCATTCGACGGTCTCCTCAGAGTATGCCCGACTCATCTTTTTCTCCTACATATTTTCTAGATGGTGGATTCTTGGTTAGTTTGTCCCCATAGTTTGGCAACAACCTCACCTAGTTTTCTAACCGGTCACAAGCTCGTGGAAAGAGGGAGGGTTGGACTTAGAGCCAGCGAACTTCCCTGGAAAATCAATCAAACTGATACAGGAACTTCAATGGAAAAGAAAAATATTAAAAATACAAAAAATATCAACGAAAAATAGGTCGATACCACTTATTAACCATAGCATCATTGTTTTTCAACTGTTATCTTCTCTAATGTGAATGCGCAACAATAATTATTAAGGAATAAATTTAAACTACCCAGGTAATCAAAAAACATATCTTAGGTGTAGTGCACGGACCACTCAGAGGGCTAATGTCATTGAAAGCTATCTCTATTAAACAAGAATTCTGAAAATTATTTCTTCTCCCTATTTAAGGCACACATTCAATAAGCGTCAGTTGTTGGCGCCCCGTTGGAGACTCTGTAGTAGAGGACCTAAGGAGGTTTTTCACCGGTGGAACGTGCCAATTGGAAGATCCTACATTCACTAAAGTACCTGGATCATTTGAGGTGAGTATCAATTGGCTTATTCAAGTGAAAAAACATTCAGTAAAGTATACTGATATCCTTAAGACTATACTTCTTAGGATTATGGTAATAATAATTTTGTTATTACACTTGAGGATTTTAGCGCCGAATATCAAGTTTTTCTCGTTACTTTTAGCTTCAGATTATCTTATCTTATCCCGGCTAATAAACAGTATTATCAACTGTTATAGCGGAGTATTATTGGTATGTGAGTGAGCTTCCATACACGACACTATAACCAACTGACCATTTGATAATATTTCTCACAATGAGATACACACGAAATTCATATTTAACTGGGACAAAGACGTTTTTATAGTTCAAAATACAGGGCAGGTATATAATCAACATACCCTACGGGAAATTTAAACTATCAATAAATAATATCTGTTTGGTTGTATGACCTTGAAAATTCTCCACAAATAAGCCAATCAGGTTGTCATGTAAGTGCATGCATTAATCGTGATTCCACAGCTCACAGCGATAGGTTGTTCATCCTAAAATCATCCAGTTAGCTCTCAGTTATTCCAAGTGATTTTATATATAATCACGCGATTCGAAGAATTACGTGAGACAAGTTTATTTTCTGTAAGTAAATACATTTGTTATAATACATAGTACTTTTGGCGCTAGGATTGAGATCCATCGGTTTTCTAACTGCAGTCTAGTAATTTTCCAAGTCACTAAAGGTTAAAACAGTTACTGACTTGGTGTGGTATCCCATCTCGGGTATTCAACTCAAAAGCACTTTAGGCAACATAAAAAACCCACTTCATTCGGCCTGACTATACCAAGGAACTAGTGTTGTCATCCGATGTGTGTTAAACAAAGCTTTATAAACTTAATGAATTTGTAATATTATCCTTCCTAATTCTTCTGACATTCAGCTTATTTTACGTTGGTGCGATTCAGCTGTAATCTATCAATATTATTGATTTGATGTTATTTAAACATTAATGTCGTTCATAACACTAATTTACTCATTCACTATAATGTATGTATAAATGTAGAGCCTGATGATGAAGTTATCGAAAAGAGTACTCTTTGTTCAGTCTTATGAAAATTATTAAAGTGCTAAATACTTTATCAGGAAATTAGTAACTCTAAAGACAGTGAAAAATCCAACTGACACACTCAAACCATATATTTGCAAGAAGTACTATGATCACGTTGTGGCAGTATGTTCTTTATTAATTTCCAAACTTCCATAATCAGAAAAGTTCGACTTAACTGATAGGATCTTATTGCCTTTGTTTTCATCTAATGTATCAAACAAACTTAGCTTTTTGCCTAAGACATTCAAATATACTGAGGTTATTTTGTTCATATTCTACTTAAATAATGGAAAGATGGCTCAGCAAAATGCGGAATATCAGCTTATGTCGGTGGATGAGTATTATAGAGACCGGGCCTAGCCTGTAGGTACCGAAAAAAAAAACAAGGCAAAAATCACTCTTAATTTGAACAATGCAAGAACTACAGTTTTAGCAGAATAAAATGGTACCATCTTTTATTTCGTCGCCTTCTCGTCAGCTGCTTACATAGCATTGTTCAAATTCATTAAGGGGAATAAATGTATGAAATCACTCTTAATTGTTTACAACTGTCCAGAAGAACTATTTGACTTACAGTTGGAAGCAGAAAAGTGCTCTTTAAAAGTATTTATAAAAATATAAAGATATATCGTCATACAGATATTAACACAACACTAGTTAGTACGAAAGTGAGTGGTGCGAGTAAGCGTTAAAGTGTGAGACGAATCAAATTAAAAATGAGGAAATTAGGAATTCGTTTGAAATAATTGTTCTCTTGGGAGCTGGTTGATTTTCTTACCAAGCTTTCGTCGTCCTTCTAAACAACACCTTCAAATCAGGTTTTGATAGAAAATGAACTTACTTAAACTCTCTGTGAACGATGTATAATTGTATCTTCTGGCGACCAGAGTCGTTACTGGTTGTTAATTTTGATCTCTATTGATCATTTTTATTGACTTGAAATTCCAACTTTCTTTTCATGTCACAATATTGAATGAAATGATTGTGCTGACCTGTAAGCTATTTCTACTTCATACTGTCTTAGTATTCTTAATATTGTGCAAACCAAGAGACCCAACAGAAAAAGAAGATAAAATTAATACCATTTGCAAAATAAATTGTATGAACTGCAATAAACATTACATCAGTCAAAGTGAGCGTCTCCTTCGAATCCGAATCCAAGAACACAAATTGGTTGTGAAAATAAATGATATATATTCCTTCGTATCAATGCAGGTGGATAATTATGGACACCAGTGTGATTGAGATAATGTAGAAATTTTAAATAGAGGAAACACCAAAAATTCTAGGGAATTCCTAGAAGTCTGGTACTCATGTGAATTAGCAATTAACAAACAAATTATTTTAGATAAAATTTATCAGCTAATAAAAATTAAATCACGTGACAATAAGGCCTGAATTCCAGATCGTTAAAAATGATCAATAGAGATATAAATTACCAACCAGTCACGACAGTGGTTGTCAGGAGATACAATTACATCATTCATGGGGAATTCGAATAAGCTCATTTACTACTAAAACGTGCTTTGAAGATATCTGAAAGGACTACGAAAGCTTGGCAAGTAAGTCAACCAGCTTCTCAGAAAACGAAACTTCCACCTGAGCTACAAATCTTCTCCACTAGACCTAACGGTAGTCAGGAATTTGTCTGGTTTGAATCATGCAGATGGTCGTGTTCCACACAAAAGGACAAAATTAGCGCCTGGATAATGTTTCGATATAGAGCCTTTATTCATCCGTAGACCTCTTTTCCAGCCTCACCCCTATCGAATCCTAAACATTGTTTTTGGTGGCTCTGTATTCCTTTCTTCCTGCCGTCTTTACATAACATCTCCAGGAATTTCGTTCGAAATCTACTACTGCTAAGACACTCCTAGACGAGCCTAAATTCATATCTGTTATGTATTCAGAGTTCAGATGTTTTACTCTATTACATAATGTTCGTGGTTAACCTATCTGTTGGAGTCTGTATGAAAGCCACTCGACGCTGTTCCTTTTTTATTGTGCCACCTTCATTTTTCCGCTCATAGGTCGACTAGTTGATTCCTAACTTCATATTTGATTTTCAATTCTATATTTTGATAGCACTACTGAACTTCTATAGCAACATTCTAGCATGTCAGTCGTCATTAATCAATAAGTGTATTGTCCACATCTCCTGAGTAAAACACACTAATATTGACTGATCTCTGAAGATATTCACTAGTCCTGCTTAAAGGGATCAAAAAGCGAATTAATTTTAATTTCCTACGCCGATAAGCAAAACTGTGATAAGCCACAATATGTTCTTAACGACGCATCACTTACAACAGAAAGCAGTAAAACAAATACAAATTCTATACTTTTCACTTGTGATAAATTTATCACACAATATATTTGAGATTTCCTACGAAGCTATCAGAGTTCATCTCATGAGGCAAAACAGTAGAAAATGACTCATATGTGAATAAAATTGTTTTTTATTACATACAACCACATGAAGAAACGTTAAGTTTAAGTATGAAAAAACTAGGGACCTTTCGAGTTTACTTCACCGAAATAATAGTCGAAGTCCATCTTTAAGACTAACTGATAATTCTTGGATTTATTCTACTTTATTCCTATGCGGTGAAGTTGTGGTTCATATACGTAAACACTCACTTTTAAATAAGTTAATCTTCAGTTCTAAACTCATCCAATCTTCAACTTGAGCAATATTATAAGACTCTTACTAATATTGTCATTCATAACTCACCACCTACAAATATATGCCGGGTAACTGAGTTGCCTTACACTTAAATTCATTCCCACCATGACGATAACTATTTATGTATTGTTATCGGTTGACCACCTTTTTATTATTTTCTCCTTCACGTTCTCCAGTGGAACATAGAGCTTCAAGCTAGTGATTTGAAGTTTCTGTAGCAGTGTTTATTATATTTACAGGATGGGGTTGCTAGCCTCATGCCCAACCTTTTCTCTTTATCAGCATTATTTCTGGTCTAGCGAGGTAAAGGAGTGCGTCCGTGGCCGGGGATCAAACCCCGGACCATGTGCATGGTCGGCGAGCGTCCTAACCGCTATGCCACCACCACTGTTTTTACACACAAAAGGATTTAATTCTATTACCAAAAGGCATATTTGTTAGTATCCTAGATTTATAATTATTAGCTGACAATATAAATTATAATCGGAAGGAATCATTTATGGCTAGCGAATTGCTTCTGCAACTGAATCCAAACTGGAGGAAGCTTAACATTCTTATTACGCATCTACAATATACCCAACCGCATACCAGAAACAAGTCACATATTCAACGTAGTTTATTATAAATAGCGTTGAAGTTGATACTTAAACTCTAAGTTAAAAACGTTCCAACTATGAATTTGGAGCTTGAACTACGTAGCGTAGCATTATTAAGTATGTTCAGCAGTCTTAGTCTTGTTTACATAATAGGTGATGGAATCAGTCACTGTGTATGTGTGTGTTAAAAGTTGCTACAATTGAGTTGAAACTTACATAGTTTAGAATAGTTTTCATAAGTTACCAGGTTTTATTAGTGAAATTATTGTGGTCAGTAGAAAAAACAGACGTTCACACAGACAGGATCATAATACCGAGGAATGTCTTTTTAGCTGTCATTATATTTCAAGTTACGCCCTAAGTTCACTTATGTAATCAATATGTCATTAAGTTGTATGAGATAATGTGACTACATTTTACCTTTCTTTGTGTGTGTTTTTATTCTGATATAATTTGTTTTAACATTTGCAGGGGCATAGTCTATTAAAATATGGATTTCGGACACGAAGTACAGGAAAACTCTTCCTACGCTTAAATTGTGCAATACAGAGCTGGTAAGTAACTGGCAAAATTTCAGGTTGCATACGCCACACATGTGTAAGCATTTCAGAAATGAACATGTTTCTTTTTATTTAAAAAAAATGATGATTTATTATCTACTTGGCAATGAAAACACAAAATGTGCAGGTATTAAATTTTTTATATGATATACAGACAACAAGGTTAGAAGACACTTGTCTATTCGTGCTAATTGTTTGTAAACATAATAAGATGTTAAATCTGGAATATATATGGAACTTTCTAGGATCTTTATGGTTCTAAAAGACAGCATACTACAGCTAACAAAATATATCCTGCTGTTGCCTTCAATGCAAACCTTTGCGGAAACATAAAAGAAACAAGTCTGTATTACAAACTATCTAACGACCCAATTACATGAGTTATTTACCAAATCAAAACAAAAAAGAGTGCATGGATATGGTTTTGCTAGAACTGTGGACATCATGAATTGATATCCTTTATCGTATAAACGTTACGCGCATACAGAAACACCACTTACTGGTTCAAATTGCAATATCCATGTGGTATGATAAAGTGAAATTTAATTCTGTTAGTTCAATATTCAATAAACAATTGAATATCTGACTGTAAAATAAACTTCGGTCAATATATTTGTCTCGAATTAGTTCTGTCTTACCGGTTAAGTGGTTAATTCCCCAACCTCCATTTAAAATATCTTGGTTGGGTGATTACACCTTTGTCAAAAACATTTTATTATATCATTGACATCTTGCCTTGTCTAAGAAAATAAAATAATCCTAGGCACTTAAACATGTAAAGGAATACAAAGATTTATGTCATGGTTAGTTTTATACTACGTCCAAAACTTGTTAGCATTAATCTTTTACTTTTTACAAAACATCTGTCGGGCGTAATATTTACTCCTAATACGCCTCTAAAAGTTCACGTATAGAGGGCGCTGTGTTTTAATTGGGAAGCGTTTTACTTAGATATTACCTCTGAATGTTGGTAAATTCAGGGGAAATATCATCAATTAAAAACATACTGCACCGTTTCTTCTAGAAAAAATTCATAGTATTGTGTACTTCCAACAGCTGTATACAGAATTATGATTTACGTAGAACAATTGATAGCTTATAATCTAGCCACACTACATTAAAAACTATGAAAGACAGCAATTTACCAGAGAAGAGTCAATTAGTACTTTATAATTTAATCAAAATATGCGTTGTAATACATTTATACATTTTAAGAAAAAAGTTACGAAGTTTTCATCATTAAAAAAAGTGAAATGGTACTTTTATAAACTTTCAGGTCAAATTTGTACAAAGTCATGAGCCAATGTCCAACCATTGGAGATGAAAAGCGAAAGCGGTATGTCGTATTTGAGAAATTCATAATGAATTTCCTTTTTATAGGATAGCGCTTGCACATATGGATGTTTCAACTGTAATAAGTAAGTTGTGTTTTATTATGTATATGTTTGAATTCACAATCTAGAAGCATATCAAAAGGCTCGTTCCAAGTTACTGGAAACAAGAAAAGTTATAGAAGGTTTGGCGAAGCCTGATTCATAGACGTGTTTGAAGAAATAATAATAAAAGCACAATACAAGTCCAAACATGACTTTTTGAAATGTACACTTTTGGACAATATATGAAGTATGTTTATCCACAAAAGCTTATCAAGCATCAGATCGTTTTATCCTTGAAGATTCTCCTCGACAGTAGGGACAGTACCATTTACCCTTAGGTTGCACTCGAACATCTACACATGAAAAGTGGAACCATTCAACCTCACAAAACTTGTTATCACAAGCTATCATATCACCAAACGACACCTTTTTGCAGATACAATACAAACGTTCATCAGGACTAGCACTTGCTTCACTTATACTACGATTAGGAGTACTTACTGAATTTATTTTGTGTCGAAATAGATTCACATCATCAGTATGAGTACTATATCTGAATGGACTGCCTGGTGGAGAGCGTGTATTCATTTGAGAGTCCATCTTATGTCGTGCAACGTTATTGGTCCTACAACCTCGTCTAGTGTTGCCTTGAGGATGATTTTGAGATGATAAAGAACCACGGTTGATAGAATGCTCCGGTGATAAAGATGGAGCAATAGAATTCGCTCGCTGTGAGTGGCTAGATTGTGTAGTGTTATTTAGACCTCTTCGAAGTCGATACATCTTTTGGCGACCTGTGTCACCATTCTGCAAAATTGGCAGCTGATTAGCTGGTGTTCTAATGTTCTGCTGTTCTTGAGGACAATTTTGATCGCTATCAACACCATATGCACTATGACCGATGCCATCTCCACAGTCTACATCTTCTGAGTTTTCGTTTTCACTGTAATTGTTATTCCAGTCAGAAGACCTTTCTCCTAACCTCCTAGGGCTTTTTAAACTAAGTAGCGTGTACGCATCTCTCTCTTCTACTTTACCTTCTTCATTATTCAGCTCACTCACAGACTTGACCGGTGAGTCGAAACAACTATTATCGGCATAAAAACTAGGATGGCCATGTTCACAGCGGCGTCTTACAACACCCATATATATTGCTTCATTACAGTTGTGTGGGGTGTCTGAACTAGTATATTTTGAAACTGCAACCTTTCTCTTACGAGATCCGTGTCTGAGCATAGCATACTCTAGATATTGGGGAGGTCTGGTGCGATTTGAATGAAGTGGTCTTGATAATACACGACTTTTGAATCTCTGTTGCTGGGTCCTAGGATAACGTCCATAGGTCACACCTACCTTATGCTGCTTAAGATCTATGGGTGTTCTGTTTGTTGTTTTATGATTGGAGTTATTGTGTGACTTTAACAAGTTGGTGTTTGAATTGACAACTGAGTTAACAGGTTTGAAACGATGCACACCAGAAACCCATTTATTCAATGACCGTCGTGAAGCTGTTCGACTGTTTGTGCTAACTGCACGTAGGGGAAAACGTCCCTTACCTCGTAAATTTATGTCATTACATCGTGCATTTGATAAAGAATTCGTGGAACACTTATCGGAAATCGGTTCTTGAATGAAATTACGTCGTAATGGATTCATATTACACTGGTGATCGGAAGTTTCCTGGTCGCTGATATCAGCTTCACTTTCCAGGACATCTTCTGTGTTTAAAGCACTAATTTGCGGACCAATCGTATCCACTTTCATTTTCGCGTTCATCAGTGTGAGTGAGTGTGTTTCAATCACTTCATCTAACTAGATAAATGTAGAATAAATTATTGTAACAAGTAAAGAGTAGGACATTCGAAAATTAATGAATATACAAATAAATGATACGTACAGTTATAAAAAGAAATTGCAAAAATACAAACATTCATTGTGATTGTGATCCGCTTTACGGCCATTAGATAAGTAATCATCGAACTGAACTATGCAGTGAACGTATGAGTCAACCAACAATTTGCTTAGAGAGGTATAATTACTCTCCTTGCAGATTGTTGCAGCAAACTAATTTTACCTGTGAAACATGTGCAATAGTAATAAATCTATTTAACGTGAACGATAAGAAAGTACAAGCAAGACTATTGTGAAGTTGAAACGGTTAAATTTCATAATCTTTGTGTAACCCAACAAATATATGAAAACCAACACCTCACTGTTGGATCCTCTCATTTCTTGAATGCAAGCACTATACTAAGCTAATCAGACCGAAGTATAGAACAGAAATGAAAGCCACTTATCAAGAATCACTAGGTAGAAAATTTTTCCTTTATAATGCCAGTAAATATTCAACAACTGGAAAGTGTTAAAACCAATTTCAACTGTCGACATCTGGGTGGTAATAAAACCTTTACAAAAATAAGTAACCGCATAACACGTAGATATATAGTCTGTCTGTTTTCGACATAGAACTTTGCACAAATGTGCGGAAGTTCAAGTCGCCACATTCCGTGTAGCACGCGAAGCAAGAGAAGAAAGTACAAGAAAAGCATAATAGAAACAGTGAGCAGAGGTGTGAGACAAAGGAGTAATAAAGAAATACAAAACAGTTTCATTGAAGATCATAAGTCACAGGGAGTGGATGCATCTGCGCCACTGAGAACGATTTTGAGCCATGTCACCAATTGTTTCCAACCATAGATTTTTACCGTCCCGAGGACCCCAGCCTGGAAGTCTACACCTTCCTACGTGGCTTAGACCAACTGTTGTGGATTTCATTGACTGATGCCAAGTTTTTGTTTGACCGCCGCTAGCTTTTTTCCAGCCTGACCCTATATCCGCTAACATAGCTCGTCGAGGGAGGCGATGACTTGGCATACGTAACACATGTCCTAACCATCTCAGTCGATGTAGCTTCACGACTTCGTCGATTGATTTCCCCTGTTTACCTAGAACTCTACGCCTAACCTCCATGTTGCTCACCTTATTATGCCACTTTACACGGGAAATAGAACGCAGGCACCTATGATCAAAGACAGCTAGTCTTTTCATGTCTTCCACTCTCAGTGGCCAGGTCTCACAACCATAAAGGAGGACGGAGCGGACTGATGAGCAGTACACCCGCCCTTTGGTCGATAGTCGAACATCTCGTCTACGCCAGAGTCGGCGTAAACTAACAAATGCGAAACGAGCCCCTTGTATTCGTGCTGAGATTTCGTCAGAGATCAGCCCGTTGGGGCTGATGGTACTTCCCAAATAAGTGAAGCGGTCAACGTGCTCTACCACTTCACTTCCTATTTTTAAACTAGGCGTCGATGTAGTCCAGTCCTGTAACATCATCTTGCATTTGGCGGGAGCGAATCGCATGCCAAACATTCGTAGATTGCTGTTCAAGGTGTTTAGAAGACTCTGCATTTCGTCAGCGTCTTCGCCTAGAAGGACTATATCGTCTGCATATTCCAAGTCAACGAGATTATTCCCAGGTAGCAAGTCAATCCCTGAGTCGCTGAAGTCACCTAGGGTTAAGTCCATTAACACATCTATGATGAAGTTGAATAGAAAAGGAGATAATGGGCATCCTTGACGGACACCACTGGTCGTCATCAGTTCAGATGACAGCTCGCCGTAAGCCCTCACCTGGCTGTATGAGTACGAATAGAGTGCCTTAATCAGTGCAATATATTTTCTCGGAATTCCCTTTACAGCCAAGCATCTCCAGAGAACTTCCCGATCGACAGAGTCGAATGCTGCCTTTAGGTCAAGAAATATAATGACTGTTGGACGCCGGTAGGAATGCCTATGTTCTAGAATCTGTCGGAGGGTGAAGATATGATCAATACACCCTCTTCCTGGTCTAAAGCCTGCCTGGCTCTCTCGTGTTTGTGCTTCCCGAGCACCACTCAGTCTACGCATGATTATTGAGCCTAAGACTTTAGATACTATATTAGTCAAGCTAATCCCTCTGTGATTATCACAGGAAGACTTGTCTCCCTTCTTGTATATGGGGATAATCAGTGACTTACACCAACCCGATGGGACTTCTTCTGATTCCCAAACGCTGCCTAGTACCTCAGTTAATCCGGACAGTAAGCTGTCTCCACCGTACTTAAATACCTCTGGCGTCATTCCATCAGGTCCCGCTGCTTTGCCTAGTTTCAGATTGGTGACAGCTTTAGTAACCTCAGTTAGTGACGGAGGACCTGTATCTATATCCCATTCAGGGAGGTGTTGGATGCTCGGAAGGTTGAGCGTGGCTGTGGGCAAATTAAACTGCTCCTCATAATGCTCTTTCCAACGATCCAGTCGTCTATCCTGTGAGCTAATTATAGTGCCATTTTTTTCCGAGATTGTCTCACTAATGATTTGTCTTCTCCCACCCGTTTCCCTGATGAGTCCAAAGAGTTGCCTGGTGTTGCCTATCCTCAAAGCTTTCTCCATCTCTTTGGCTTTTGTCGCCCACCACTGTTCACGGTCCTTGCGGAGACTTTTCGTAAGTTTCCTCTTGTGCAGCTTTCGCTCCTCATTGAATTCGGAGCTCGCCGGAATAAGTCTTCTAGCATCTATCAGTTCGGATGAGGCGGTGGAGATCCAGTGGTTTTTACTCACCTTTGGGTTTACCTTATTCACAGCTTTTACAGCTGTATCTATGGCTGCCTGGATATTTTTCCAAGCTTCTTCAGGGTGAGCACAGCTGTCGAACACAGATATGTGTTTAGCTAGTTCTTCCTGAAATACGGATTTAGTTTCCTGATCGAGCTGGGGACGTGATGGTTTTACCGCCAGCTGTTTCCTACGTCCGTTCAGTCGTAAGCACACCCGAGCGCGGACCAGTGCATGGTCGGTATCTACGCACGTGTTCCAGAAGGAGCGACAATCTCCTACCGACCCACGCCAACGATAGCTTATTGCTATGTGGTCTATTTGTGTCCAGCGTTGGTTTGATGAAGGGGGTCTCCAAGTCAAACAGTGTCTCTCCTTGTGTTTGAAGTTAGTGCTTACAAGAAACAAATGATTATCAGAGCAGAACTGTAGGAGACGGTCACCGTTGTCGGTTCGCTGGCACGGAACTCCATAGGTGCCACCGACATCCTTCTCAGATTGACACAATTTCCCTACTTGAGCGTTAAAGTCACCAGCTAGAACGACTATGTCTGAGCGTTTAGCCTTTCTCACCAAACTAGACAGCTTTTGGTAGAACTCATCCTTCGTTTCATCTGAACTGCAGTCAGTGGGGGCGTAGGCGGAGATTACGAAAAGGCATCGGCGAGTAGTGCAGTCCTTCCTCCTTCTTACTGATCCGTTCAGGCGGACAGCACACATTCGGCTATCTACCGGGATCCAGTCAAGCAATGTCTTTTCTGCCCTAGTACTCAAAGCTATCCCTACGCCAGCTAATCCTCGTGAACTAGCTGTGGCATCTCCTGACACCCTCAGGGTGAATTTTGCAGATTCAACCTGTTGGCCAGGTGGGGTTAGGTGAATAACCACACTTGGGTCTTGTATGCGTGTTTCTGAAACACAGCATACATCAATGGCTCGTGATGCCAGGGTCTTGGCTAGTGATGCTTGTTGTCCTATTTGGCAAAGTGTCCTAACATTAAGAGCTCCTATATGAAATTGGTGGCGCGGCTTTAAGAGGCTGTCGGTGGTGGTTTTTTGGCTTCCATCGTTTTTAGTGGACGCAGAGTGGAGAGGAAGTGGAGAGCTATCAAGTCGAGGAGTTGCATCAGTGGAAGGAAGGCAAGATGATAGAGATGAAGATGAAGACAAAGATGAGTGAGTAATAGAGAGGTTTCGTGTGCATTTCGGATTGTGAGGGCGATTGTTACTTCCCGGCTGCCCACACCGTGGAAGTTGGTTGCGTGACCGCAGAGCCCAGGGGACAACTGCTTGAGGCCGGTCACACGCGGCCTGTTTTTCTTTGTTCTTTTTGTTTGGTGTGTCTCAGTAGCAGATTTATCACTCCCGCCCTGTGACACGGCAGCAGGAAGCGCGGTCGTTGTTAATCCGGGCCACGGCCGATCCGGCATGAAATTTTGTAATTTTGTATTGGACATGATGTTGGATTGGGTAGCTGCTTTTTGTTTAACCGCTATCCAAACAACCTGCCTGGCATGGTAGAACCTCAAGAGACATAAGTCTCAGCCAGTATAGCTTGATTAGGTCATTGCGGTGTTCAAGCCCGACCACCACGTCAAGGTAGCAGCTTTCGGTCGGGAGTATAGTTTAGATGTTGCATTTGGTGGCTCTGTTATATACTAACACTACTACGAAATTCACTGTTAACAAACACCCGTGATCGTCATTTCTCAGATCAATAAATACTTCATTTTCGACAAATATAGGTAAATACCCAGTTAAGTATCTCTTGATTTTCATTCTGGTGGTGACCGCATCGAACCGAGCGTTATTAATACTCCGTTACACCTTTTCGCAGCACCATTTGCTTAATAGTCACTAAATCTTTGTTACTTAATCCCAATGCTAAGAGTCTAGTGTCGAAAATTTTCTCGTCGTGTGAAATCTCATCGAAAGTTTCTTTTTGAAAGAAACAACGTCAGCTGTGCTTTCTTAGACATCCACACTTTTATTCAACTGCGTTCTCCATAAGTTGTTTGTTTACCAATGTAACAGTTAATTAAAAAGTTCTCAAAGATCTGTACTTCCCCGTAGATCCCTCATTTAATTTGCTTAACAGTGAGATACTTCATGTAAAAAGTCTGCGACTGTGCACGGGTTTATATATTCGAACCTAGGCGCTAACATTTAGATGCAGCTTATGTCGCTATGGCCAACTGGTTTAGGCGCTCGACTCCCAACCAGTGGGACACCATTTTGAATAACACTATCAACCAAGGTTTGGACAGGAAGCGTATTTAGTCCTAGCATAATAGCGTTAGCTTATTGCCAATGGAATGGGAACTTATGACTGAATTATCACCGCAGAACTATGCAGTAAAGTATCATGAAGTTCCCACGCTTCATAAGAACAAACATGAAGATGCAGAATAGAAACTCAATGAAACTACAATAAACAAAAATGAACACAAGAGAATATTTACACGAAAACAGTGATGATTTTCAGAAAGACCACAAGGAGTGGATGCATTTGTGTTACTGAGAACGGTTTCCAGCCATGTCACCGAACCGCTAAGATCCCAACCAGACAGTCTGTAATTCCTTATGTGGCTTAAACCAATTATCAAGACCCTTATGGATTGGTGTCGTGTTTTCACCTAACCACTCCAAACTCCTTTCCAACCTAATCCTATGTCAGCTAACACTGGTCGGTGAGGCAGGTGCTGGCTCGCCATGTTCTTCACGTATCCTAGCCACTTCAACCAATATATACTAGTCTGTAGATTAACTGAGGTACTAGGCAAAGTCTGGGAATCAGAGACAGTGCCATCAGACTGGGGTAAGTCACTTATTATACCGATATTCAAGAAGGGAAACAAGTCCTCGTGTGATAATCATAGGGGGATCAGCCTAACGAACATAGTCTAAAATCCTAGGCTCAGTAATCATGCACAGACTAAGCAGAACTCGGGAGGAACAGACAAGGGAAAATCAAGCAGGCTTTAGACCAGGTAGAGGGTGCATAGATCATATCTTCACTCTTCGACAGATTCTAGAACATAGACACACTTTTCGGCGTCCAACAATTGCTATATTTCTTGACTTGAAGGCGGCCTTCGACTCCGTGGATCGAAAGGTACTATGGCAATGTCTGACTGTGAAGGGAGTGCCAAGAAAGTACATTGCACTAATCAAGGCACTCTACTCAAACTCACGTAGTCGTGTAAGGGCTTATGGGGAATTGTCATCTGAATTGGTAACAACCAGTGGTGTCCGACAGGGATGTCCACTTTCCCCATTTCTGTTTAACTTCGTCATAGATATGCTGATGGAAGTATCCTTAACTGAACGTAATGACTTAGGAATAAACTTGTTACCAGGGAATAGTCTTATGGACTTAGAATATGCAGATGACATAGTCCTGTTAGGGGAGGATGCTGACAAAATGCAGAATCTTCTGAACACCTTGAGCAGCAATCTTCGTATGTTTGGCATGCGATTCGCCCCTGCAAAATGTAAGATGCTGCTACAGGACTGGACCACGTCAACTCCTAACTTAGTGATAGGGAGTGAAGTGATAGAACATGTTGACCACTTCACCTACTTGGGAAGTTGTATTAGCACCAACGGACTGATTGGCGATGAAATCTCAGCACGGATCCGAAAAGCTCGAGCTGCTTTCGCTGACTTACACCATCTCTGGCGTAGGCGTGACATCCGGTTATCAACCAAGGGACGTGTGTACTGCTCATCAGTTCGCTCCGTCCTTCTCTATGGCTCTGAAACATGGCCAATACGAGTTGAAGACATGAAAAGGTTGACTGCTTTCGATCATAGATGTCTGCGATCTCTGTCTCACGTTAGGTGGTTTAATAAGGTAAGTAATGTTGACGTTAGGCGTAGAGTGTTGGGCAAAGAGGGAAAATCAATCGACGAGGCTATAAAGTTACATAGACTAAGATGGCTAGGTCACGTGCTGCGCATGCCTAACCACCGCCTCCCCCGACGGGCATTGCTAGCTGATATAGGTGCAGGTTGGAAAAGAGCCAGTGGTGGCCAAACAAAAACATGGCCTCATCAATCCATGAAATCCTTGACAGTTAAACTGAGTCAGGTAGGAAGATGCAGACTCCCGGGTTAGGGCCCTCGGGACTCTAGGAATCAATGGCTGGAGACAATAGGTGACATGGCTCAAAATCGTTGTCAATGGCCAGCGCATATGTATTCAGTCTCTGTAATCTTTTATATTCCTTTCTACCATTACCCATTCTGTTTCACTCTTATACTTGTCAAACTCTGTTGATTCTCTTCACTCACCTTGTCTACTTCTGTGTGCTATTTGGAACGTGGCAACTCGAACTGCTGCACTTCAGTGCGAAGTTCTATGTTGAATCCAGACAGACAGACAGATTGACCCTCTTAACCTAACACTACGCTTTACCTCAATATTACTCACCATATTATGCCATTTAGCATAGGAGTTTGGACGTACACATCGCTGGTCAAGGACAGTTAATCTAGATTGTTTAAGACTTCCACTTTCCACGGCTGTCTTACAGAGGCAAAAGTCAGAGCTAACTATTGAGCAGAATACGAGTGCTTCGACAGAGAACTAGGTAACACGTCTACGTCAAAGTTTGAAAATGTCATACACCCCTCTGTAACTATGACGCTCACTACACTGAGGCTGATGCAACTCCGCCCAATAAGTGATGTCAACATGCTCAATTACTCTACCCCATATCTTTAAGATGGGAGTTAGTGAAGCATCATCTTACATTAAGACAGGGTCGAATCGCATACTGAACATACGAGGGTTTCCGCTCAAGGTGTTCAGAGGATTGGTATAAATATAAAACTTGGGCACCGTGGTAGAGTACAACTCCATTATGGATATGATTTCATTTTGATAAATCAGTGTTGTACAGTAATATTAACTGATGACGTTTCGAGCACATATTACTGCTCATAATCATATCAAGTAAGTGAGCGACTTGAGTCAAGCTACTGATCACAGTCCAGTGCAGTGAAGATTACAGCTGTCGATACTACTTTTCGAGACTAAGCTCTCTAGATAAAGCTGCTAAGTAAGCAACCACACACATAGGAGTTAATGCATATACTGCATATGTTTGAACACAAAACAGTTGACCCATGAAACTACACACTTCGACCGCTCTAAAGAGACCATGCACGAACAGGGAAAATGTGCTAATCTACAATTTCATGAGTGTAATTAAACTTCCTTCGGCAGTTACAATGAATAGTATTGCCTTTATCACAAGACTGTTTCTTCATGATGCAATGAGGTTTATAATGACTGCGAACTCCCAGGTTGAAAAAAATCTTAACATAATTATCCTTAACACTTACGAGCACTATGAGGATCCATAAAAACAAACACAATTAACCCTAAGGCAGAACTCAGACATACAACTTATAGCCAAATGCTGATATAGTGAGAAAAGTGTTTACGAAATTACCTTCCATAAAAAATCTAAGACAGTCCTACAGATGTACAGCACGTAGAGTGCAACGAAGAACATTTAAGAGATTGACTTACTTCATCCAGATCACTGATTCTACGATCACATATATTTTGGATAGCAGCCAAGAGACAAATAACCCGACTCAGATGATTTTGTTGAGCATCGGTATCTGTAGCTTTTTGCAGATCATTCAAAGTTTGCTTCGTAAGCGTTAAAAGATGACGATGTTGCAGGTCTGATTGTAAGTATCCAGTAATTTTAGATTGCATCTCCAAAGGAAGGATTTGGAGTGAATCAACATAAGCATTGATGAATGAGTCCATTCCTTTATGGTCTGATTTCAAAGTTAAATGAATACCTCCAATTTATGATGACTTTCACAGCAGGATATCCTGCTGCAGATTAGTCACTTCTCCCTTATTGAATATATTATCCATTTAGATCAGTTCAAACTCCTGAGGTTACAAACCTCCCACAGTTTTGCGGAACAGTGTCGAGTTATTACATAAAATACTCACCCACAATTCATGTAGACGATCAAATCTTAAGTGTATTTGAGGTAAACTTGTAAGGGGCGCCAGTGATTGTGTGCACTGCAGGGAACCTATGATTGGATAACCTGTTTACAGGCATTGTAATTCAACGTTCCAATGGTCAGCAGGGTTTGATAATTGGATAGAAATGAAATTTTTCCCATCTTAAATGGATTCCTGCTAAGTGGGTCTAGCTGATCACCTGTCATATCTCTGAGCGACTTGGGGAGATAGACTGTTTAACTGTAAAGAGAAGTTCGGGTGACTTCCTTGCATATCCCCGCTAACTGTAGCGTCGCAGTTGGTCAGTATGTCCTATACGTCCTACTTTTTCGGACTTTTGAAGCCACTTTCAACTAAACCATCACTTATATACTACTCTACAATTTTGTCTGAGCACTATTATACTCTGCCATTTCCTCATTATCTTATCTTTAAATGAAGCTAAAGCATAAAAATTTTCTAAATATAATGTTTATGACTTGTTATCCTTATTGGTGCTTATTCCACTTTGGGGCTTTTCAGAGAGTTTCTCTCTTTCTTAAATAGCTTTCAATCACTCGTGGACATAGTACTTACCTGTATATAAGTTGTTCGTTTGTTGAATAAAATGACTAGCAGGAAACGAAATGAATTCCGGTTTACCGCTCAAACTTGGTGGTGATCTTAGTGGGGGCTTAAGAATTCAACGTTTTTACGAATATGTCCTAGTTGCTTGCATTCTAATCCGACTGTTTGAACTGTTAAAAAGGGACTAATTTATTGATATCTAACGATAGTAATTTATACCATGTTTGTTCGTACAAGTAAAAATGACATGAATTTCGTGTAAACTTACATGTTTATACGAAATATAAATTATTGTCAAAACGATGGAGTGAGATGAACTTTCAGAGTTGCATTTCTCCTATTTCTTTTGGACACAAAACGCTAAACTGCGTTTAAAGACCGCTTCTTAATTGGCCTTGCACCTATCACCTCGAGGAATTTCTAATTTAAACTGTTTGGTTATTTTTTTATCTTCGCTTCCTACATTTTATGCTTTGGCCTGAAACGGAAGGTGTGGGAAGTCACTTTTCTCGCTGCGGAATGTCTACAAAGGCAACGTAGAGAAAAAGTGTGCCGAGGAACGATTTTCTGACGGGTATCTCAGATAGCCCTCTTAATAAGCCATCCAACATGGAAACTTACGTTTACCTTATAGTCGCTGCTACGACCACTGGAGTAAATATAATCTTCACAAGGATTGGTAACTAGTGACACACGTATTTGATTAGGGGGCATCGAATCAGATTTCAACAAGAACTCATTTATCAAACGTTGGTTTGCAGGGATCTTATAGATTACAGCTTGGATCACCATCCGACATCTATTAAAGAACCGCTGGACAATCATGGAGCACTGGGCATCCATTTATTCCAATCTAGTACTCTTCAGTGGCAAAAAGAACCTCCATTTGGAAGTGGAGCCCACAGACTGATCAGCCACTGAGGCCGGATCCAGTGACCAATGAATTCCGAATTCTGCCAACTTGCGATATTCACATCACGAACGTCAGCCAGCGCCTTAGAGGAATAACCATTCTCTTACCTGGCCTGGTGTAATTCGCTTGTTAGGACTTCTCACCTGTACTGCAGGTAACTCAGATATATATACATAAATTCATATCATTGAAACATCAGGGGCAAATTATTGGGTGAGGAGACTCTTTTTAACGAATTTCTTATCAAGCTGTACAATAGAACGTGCTTCTAGAGAGGTAAGAGTGGATGCAAAGGGGTATTGAGGATGACGTGTGAATGTAGCTGAAGAATGAACGATCAATTCACGGTTGTTTGCTCAAATCTAACTTCATATTTTTGCGGGAGTCACCGATACTGCGGTCATCGTTCCATCGTTCGCTGTCCGTTGGAGAAATGCTATTATTATTATTTTATCCTTTAATTCCTAGTGGAACATAAAGCTTCAGCTGCGCGTCCCCATCGCCTTCGGTTTTCTGCCAACTTTTTCACCCTTCTCGAAGTCTGCTTTCATCTCCTCTTCACATGACCTCCTCCAAGTCACCCTTGCACTGACGACCAACTCGCCGCTTCCCTTTCGGGTTCCACTAGAGCAATGGCTTGTCTGGTGATGTCACTTGATGGTTTCCTCAGCGTATGGCCAGCCAATCCACCTCCATTTCTTCCTGATTATTTGTTGTACAATCGGTTCGCTCCCAGAGATCCCTGTTGCTGATCATTTCTGCCCGACCATCTGATCTTGAGTATTGAGCGAAGACAACTGTTGATGAAGGTCTGTAGTTCGTTTGAGATGCTCTTTACGACGCGCCAAGTCTCTGATCCGTACAGTAAGTAGCACTTACTTCCCGTTGGAGTTGAAAATACGGATCTTATTTTTGATGCTGAGTGCTGTTGACCCCCACACAGACTTAAGAGTAGTGAAAACTTTCCTTACTTTCCCGATGATGGCTTTTTTATCCTCGTCAGTTCCACCTGTAGTTGAAACGATGCTTCCCAGGTAGGTAAAGGAGGTTGTTTTTTCAGGTTCCTCTCATTTATGCTGGCTGATTGTTGTCTGTTGTTGTTGTTGCTGTTGGCCAGGAATCCTCATCACCTCTGTTCTATCTATCTTCACATTAAGTCCTATCTTTGATGCTTCTTCTCCCAACTTGCTTTTCACTTGCATATCTCCCACTTTGTGGGAAATCAGATATATATCATCGACGAAGTCAAGATCCTCCAAGTCTTTTGTGTGAGTCCATTTTATGCCTGTTTCCTCATTGCCCGTTTTCTGTCGCATTATCCAATTTACTGCTATCAGGAAGATCATTGGCGATAATAGACAGCCTTGTCTCACTCCTGTCCTCACTTCGAAGGCCTCTTTAATTCTCTCGTTGTGGATTACTTGGCATGCAGCATTCTCGTAAAACTGTTGGATAATAATAATATCACTTTATTCCACAAGATGAGATGTATAATTGTCGATGGGACCCCGTAGTAGCGAAGTAGTTGCCAAATGACCTCTCAATCGACGCTCTTGAGGGCCTTTTCAAAGCCGATGAAATACTATCAGAAGTATTATTGTGATTAATTGTTATGACATTTATTCTCAGACTTTGTGTATAATAACCTTATGGTTGATTCCATATTGGTGCAAGAATAAAGGATTCTTGAGTCACCAATCTGTATTCTGGTTTTTTGCGTTGGTTATTGCACATGGTTGCTGAAAGTCCTCTAAGGACAGTGTTAAGTCCAGTGTAGTTACTCCTGGACATTGACAACAGGTCTGGGAAATTCAAATGAGTTTCACCCATGTACTGGTAGGAACAGAAAGCACCATGTCTAGCACTTATCCCATAGTGAATATACATTTTTAGTTCCCCTGACTTCACAAGTTCTTCTGTGGAATACAGATCAACTTACGGTGTATCAGTCGACCACTACAGAAGAGTAAGTCCCTAAGCAATCTAAAAGTAAGATGTAGTTTCACACGGTTAACATTCATCTTGGTAAATCGCGTAGGACAAACAACATGTACATTATTGCAATGCTCAGAATTACTATTAGAGTTACACTACGCTTAGACAGCGAAATTCGAAACACTGCAGTAGCACGACTATCAAGTATAAGTATAAGTATCTTACACGTTTTTTATGCATAGTTTTTAGTGAGATATTATGACGCCTGTAACCTTACTATTTATTAAGCTTACAAGAATCATGATGTTGAGTTCCCACAGGACAGGGAAAGTCTTATATTTTCAGGTCATATATAAGCCTCAGTTCAGATAGCCAAGCAATCTGTCGTGTGCTTTTGCTTCATGCTTTTTCCGAGTGCAGAACAAAATCCGCTCAATATTCCAGTGATCACCATTTTTGATAATTGAATCACTGTCTTTTTCTTATTGTGAGCCGTACGCATATTTGTTAAATATAACCCTGATGCGTGTTTATTTCCTTTTACTTTAATAATCAAGACTTGAGGCATAGATGAAATTTGTTTATGAATGCAGTTATATAGTAGACCTTTCCTTTCGATAATATAGAACTGTTTGTATGTGGTGTTAGTCTTCCAGTGGTAATCCTCGCTGGTAGTGTACAGTCTATGGCTTAACGATTTCGTAACTAAACGCGAAAAATCCACATATAAAGCCTTGCTAGATGGATCGTACGCATTTTAGGCAGTGTGTTTGATGCCATAGGCTTAATCTTCCTCGAAAATGACTGTCAGTGTTATTATATTGAATGAATTTTCAACCACCTGGTAAATTCAGACTGGTTTCGTCTTCGTTGGGAGTTACACTCCCTAATGTAGCCCAGTCGCTGGCTGTTCTGCGGAAGACTCTAGCAGTACTATCAGAAGTATCAGTGTGAGTTATTATTAGTTCTTTGACTTAAGGGCGAATCATAGGGATTCAACGGCGAATCTTCATTTTTCTTGATGTCTGCTAGCCCCTTCAGTTAGCCCGACGGCTGCCTAATAAAACTCGTCCCCTCTTTACATTATCTGCCTCATAGCACACTCGGACGCCCCACTCGTCGTTTCTCATCCAGATTTCACTCAAGGGTCTGGCGCGCGATTCCACCTAACGGTCTCATTTATATCTTTGTCGAGTAATAGGTTATTGGTTGGGTCGTTTCCTGAGTTTCATCGTGACAATTCTCTCTCATCTGACATTTGACTTTCAATACGGAACCAGCGAAGGTTGATGTTGGTAAAAGTTTGCAACAGATTGTTTGAAATGCTTTTCGTGGCGAGCCAAATACCTGACACATACAGAAAGACTGACTGACTCAACACGTGTCAGAAATCTGAATCTCGTCCTAAGCTCAGATCTCCCAATTTATTCTAGAGTGATGAAGTTCTGTGTTGTATTTCCGATTCCGGTTTTGACATCTTCATTTATCCTCTTGCCTGCAGCAGAAACGCTGCCGTGTAGAAACTGAAGAAATTCACTTCCGTCAAGTTTCACCTGTTGACAACGACTGTTGCTCGTTTTTCGTCGAATATCTTCACCACTTCTGTCCTCCCTGTGTTTCCTTGAAGTCCTGTCTTCGCCACCTACTTCGTTCGACAGTTGGTTGGTTTT